AATTTGTATTTAAATGATTTATGTTCATGTCAAGGTTAAAATCACCTACAAAATAAACGCTTTTATTTTCACTTAATTTATTTTTAATTACCATTCTTAAAAAAGGTTTCTTAATTGTTTTATTGAGCAGGACGGTACACCGTCCGTTTAATACATACCCCTGCGGTAGTCACGTGAATGATAAAAATTTTTTCTGGTTTTATTTATTTTTTCTGTTATTATTAGTTGTTTAGCACAAATTTTTTTTTAGCTAGTATAATAAAGTATTATTTATAAATCAAAAACCTTATAACCTTTTATTATTTATAAGGCACAAACCCCTCTTTTTTTTCACAGATCATTTTAATTGATGAATCACTTTATAATTTCATAGGCAGCTGAATATATGTATTAGTCTTTATATTTTAATCAGTACAGAAGTGTGAGACAAGGTCTCTGAAACTAATAGTTTTAATACTAATAAAATTCAACTTAATTCTGCTTAAAAAATGTTCAAATAATTCTGAAATGTTCCTAATTGAAGCTTTTGCATTGGTCTTGACTTTGAAACTGTTGGCCTTGGCTTTGAAAATTTTGGCCTTAGCATTAAAAAAAAAAAATGTTTTCTTATTGATTTTGTTGAATTCTGCGCATAACCCTGGTCTATTTTTACAAAATGTGATTTTATTGTCACAGCACTTGCTATATACAGTTTTTTTAATAATTGACCTTAACGTAAGGCAAAAATTGAAGTATTTGGTCTTGAAAATGTTTGTGTAGGCTTTGGCCTTGAAACTCTTAAACTTGGCTTTGACCTTAAACTCTTGGTCTTGTCCTGGCCTTGTAACTTTTGGCCTTGGTCTTGTCCTTGGCCTTGTAACGTGTTGCCTTGACCTTAGCCTTGGCCTTGCTAACTTGCTAACAATTCTGGTGAGAATGTTTATCTAGAAGTATCCTACTTTTATTTTGTAATAAATTAAATTCTGAGTTATGTGTAACATTAACTTTATTTAAAAATAGGGTAATTTTATAAACTGTTATTTTATGAAAGCGTATTTTGTTGTTTTATAAATAAAGCATTTTTGTTTCATAAATAGAATATTTTGTTGTTTTGGGATTTATGAACTGTTGAATTTTTTTGTGCGAAAAATAAACAATTAGAAAAAGAAAAAAAAAAAGTTTTAAATATAAATAATAAAGTTATGATGCACTCGCTTGCTTTTCCCTAAATTATATAATATTATATAAGAGAATATTTACTATTTTTTTATGTATCAATTTTTCTTAGAGCATTTTTACTATTACCTTTCAAAAGTAATCTCTTTGTTTTTGTATGTTCCAGTTCCTTTAAGTTAATTAAATAAATGTAAAACTTTTATTTCCTCTTTGTAATGCTGTATTTTGGTTAAAAATTCTCTAGTTTTAATTTCGTCTTTTATTCAATTTGTTTTCGATAGAAAATGTAATATTTTCTCAGTTTCATCTCATGGTTTTTGATCTTCTAGATGTCGTAATTTATTGTTTTCCTTTTCACCATCACTTTTTTTGTTTTTATTTTTCTTTTCTAACTTGCATACTTTTTTTTTTTTGGGTGCCCTGTGTAACCGTCAGACTTTTTTTCGATATGTCTTTTATCGGGATCTTACTTATATGTTGATTTTATATTTGTTTGTTTTTATATTTTATCAATTAGTTTTATTAATATTTATTTTTAAGTTAACAGTCATAAGCTTATAAATATCATTTGATGTTTTGAAAACATTTCATGAAAAGTATCGCAAACAACATTTGTTGATATTTGCGCTTCATTTTTTTTCCCGTTTTGTTAGATTTCTTTCGATCAATGATATTTTTTGTTATCCATTAAATGATTTCAAAAATAAAAATTAAAGAAATGCAACGATATACCGTAAAATGGGGTAACACCACCCCTAATATAATATAAAACCCTAACCCTAACCCTGACCACCCGAGGGTGACTTTGGGCCATTAAGCAAAAAAAATATTTAAACAGTCATAAATCTTAAACTTTTAAATTTTTAGGTGTTTTAATTGTGCATAATGCAAAACTAAAGCAATTTTTTAGTAGCTTTTTACAGTGCACAGACATCATTTCAAGATGGCCGCCTGACGTGGTTTTTTTCACATTTTTAAAAACCTTAAAAGTTCTAAGTACACAGGACTCACTAAAGTGGTTATAAATATTTAAATTATTGTTTATACTTGTTTAAACCCTATTTAACATGGATATTCACTAAAATAATAGCTATGGACATTATTTTTTTTAAAATAGGGGTGACCATAATCACCCCATAAAATATGATCAATGACTATGGTGGTTATATCCAGGCTTAGAAGTTATTTTTATCTCAATTAATTGCATACAGGAAACTTTTATTTAGTACATTTTCAATTTTTTTTCTATTAACATAAAATTAATCCCAATTAATTTACTTTTGTTTTTTTTAACTTGCAGAACAAGCCACCATGTCTACGAGACACAAGCTCAAGCCTAGAAGTT